GATACCTATCAGTTCAGCTGGTTTATTTGGTCTCTTGTTAATGAAGGTTTCAAATGCTTCTTTCATAGCATTGACAAATTTCTCATTCTTCAGAAAGCAGACATCAATAATATGGTCAACTTTATCCTTAAAATCTAGTAGTTCTTGGACCATAGTTTTGTCTTTTTCTGGGTTAATTACTATAGTGCTACCAAATGCCTGAAAAACAAAAATTCACCCTTCAATCAAAATTCTAAATATCAGATCTGAATGAAATCTTCAAACAAAAGTTGGATGATGTAAAAGTTCAGATTTTACAATGAAAAATGTTTGCTTCCCTAACACAACAATAATTAAAAAGGCAGAATGTACTTGCTACACACAGATAGTATTTTATATTTTGAATCACCATACCAAGATAGACAGCAATTAAAAAAAAAAAAATCAAATTGCTGAAGTCAGTATATAGCAGAACTTGCATTTCAGAAGAGATGCAAACACAATGGTAAGCCAACTTTATGGTACAAACACTTAAAGATGATAGTCAAACTATATACGACCAAAATATTACATGCTGTAAGGACTCATTCCTGCAGAGACTTACATGGGCAAGACTCCCAGTGAAGTCAATTTCACCACAACAGTAATACAAAGCACTCTCCTACCAAAGTTAGGATGCCTGTGTGACAATATTATTAAAGTTACAGAATCATCTGCCCACTGAACACTGAAGTCAATGGGAGTTTTCCTATGAATAAATGAAGGATAATAAAGGTCTTTAGTGTTGTAATCTAGTATGTATGTCCTTTGCTTTTTAAGTAGCTTTTCCCCCCTAAATCCACCACTCAATTAAAGCAGAGAATTTAAGTGTAGGCTGGAGCAATACAGACTGGTGATACTCTACTCACACACTCAGGAATACAAATACTGCATGTATGAAAGTGTATTCCACTTAATAAGCAAAAACTTTACATTTGTTGCTGAAAGTTAGTGCTTTTGGATTTTTTTCTATGTGCAACACAAGGCAACAGCAAACTAACAAAACCCCACATATGCTGTTGGCAGCAAACTGCTCTTTCAGACAAGATCCTAGCCTGACAATATCCATGATGCTGGTGCACAGACAAAAGTAATCAAAAGACAATCACATAAGCTTCATTGTTAGAAATAGAGAAGTGTTTTTCCTTTGGTACACGATCAGTATGAATTAACATTTTAAATTCCAAATTTCTCAGTGGACTTTTCTGAACAAATGAGTGGAAACCCAAAGAGTTAACTATAAAAAAATATAATTGGCAGTATCACTTCAGGTAGTGGTGTAGACCAAGCCTATGTCAGTATAACTATGTTGTTCAGAGGTGTGGAAAATCCACACCCGAGTGACACAGTTCTACCAACCTAGCCCCCTGGTGCAGACAGCACCATGTTGATGGAAGGGCTTCTCCCATAGACATAGTTATCACTTCTCGGAGGTGGAGTACCTATGCCAACGGGAGAAGTTCTTCCGTCGGCGTAGGTAGAGTCATCATTAAGCGCTACAGCTCTGTAAGTGTAGACAAGGTAAACTTGACCTGGAAATAAAGGTATAAATTACAGCCAACGTTATTCTAAAGTGACAAGAAGATACCAGGAATATGTCTTTCCTCGACCAATACATGTTGTTCTGTGTAAACCAAAAACAAAAATCCAGATTTTGGAATGATAGATACTTCAAGACAATATTCAAATTATTCTAAAACAATACATCATTCCCAGTGCAATTTCACAGGTTGTTCGGTTGCATATAAGCATGCTGTTTAAAAGTTTCCAAGTCATCTGTTAAAACTATGTTGCATCTTTCTAAGCTGTAATACTTGTTTATGAAAAGAAATGTTTGTGGACAAACCTCAGTGATTATAAAAAGTCAGTACAAGATCCTGGATATATATCAGTACCTTTATGTATTCAATCCAATGCTGTAAGAGAACTTGCACTCCACCTCTGACCCGACTGAACAACTGATATAGAAGAGACAAGTCTTGAATTCGGTTTTCATCAAGAAGGTGGTTTAAACCTGTGAGTTTGAAAGTTTAAACATCTAAAAAAGGTATAATCATTGGAAGTGATCCATGCATGCTACTGGAATGTAAAGAACTTCAAATCTCATGTTAACCCAGCCATATTATCACTCAATATATCCATTTATTCTCCAATGGAATAGTTTGTCGATTTTTAAAAAAAAATTTTGGCAGTCAAACTGGCTAGACAACAAAAAACTGAATGGCAATCTGAATTAACTCTGTACCTGAAAGCCCTTGTTTAATTGGGCCATGTATCTTGGACTATCGTACTATACATAACTGTCTCATCACATAAGCTTTGCTCACTCATACTTCATTGCTCCTTTAAATTCAGTAATAAAAAAAGTTTATGCTCCATTAGCCCCTGGGAAGCTTTGCTAGGAAGCTCAGAAGTCCTAAACCTTAATTTTTGCAGAAAATTAAGCTTTATAACCCTATAAAAAATGCAAGTCTCTTCATGTAGCCAAGCAGCATCTTCATCTTTCATATTAACCACAGCAGAGTCCAGGGACATCACATAAGTAAGAATCCCCGAATACCCTCACTTCTAGTAGCTAGGAAGAGGGAACAGGTGGGGGCAGGGCTTCTTAACAGAACACCCTCCCACACACCATTCGGCTAACAGGTGTCTAGTAATTTTCAAGTCAAAGGAAAAATAAAGCATATTAGATGAACAATTTGTGCAGGCTGCACTCATGTATCCATTATTCACCTTTCCTTGGAGCACACACGGTTTCATGACCAGGAGGAGAGATTATTACAGGGCTAAAGCAGTGTATCTTCACTGCTTTTGCCTTCTTTAGAGTACAGTAGCATGTTTGCTTGCTAATCCCGAATGGTCTCCCTTGCTACATCGGGCCCTAACGCAAAGGCTACCCCCACTCATGATCTTCAAAAGGTTACTTGAATCCTCAACCCAACATCTATATTTTAATTCTAGTTTTCCTTCTGCTCTGCAATGTATTTGAAGACACCATTGTGGCTCCTTACCTCTGAAAAGGAGACTGGGACTTGCCCTCCTGCAAAATGTTCAGTGCTATTTCATGAACTGAGTAGCAAGGAGTGTTAAAGAATGATGTGGCTTGTGTCCTCCCCCAGCACCTGAATGTGTCACTTTCTTTTCAGCACAGGAATGAAAGCCCCGAAGCAGTAATTAGAAACATTTCTATAAAGAAGAAAGATTACCTTTCTGAAGAATGGCTGTTAAATGTTCACCTAGCAGTTGCTTTTCTACAGTAGCAATTAGTGGCTTCCTATAGAAGAAATGTTTAGAATTACTTTTCCTTTTTCTATCACTAACAGTTTTAAATCCCATTTGAAGAACAGACTAGCCTGACTTAAATCTACACTTGGCATTTGGTAGGCTCCTGATCAATAACTCGGGGCTGTTTGTTTAATAAATATATTTAACCTGTTTCCCCCAGTAGGTGACTCTACATGCTGGTTGCTGACTAGGGATTTATAGTAAACTCATCACTATGGTATCTGAGTGCCTCGAGGTGATGCACAAGATGGATCTCATCAGGGCAGAAAGTTAGGGAAGCAGCTCCTCAGGGAATATGTTTCCTCCAACCTCATGCAAGAGGGCATTCAGGCCTTTCAAGAGACCATAAAGCAAGGAGACAGTCACCAGGAAGGGGCAAAGATGACAGGTATTTGAACCAACAGCTCCTAAATTAGAACGGGGACTTTGCTAATAATGGACTCAGGAAGAAGGGATCCACTGAAGGATCTAGCAGCCTCTTACTCTAGTGTCTGAGGGGGTAGCGGTAGGGACAGCAGGACTGGAGAAACAGCATACACAGCAGTCCCAAATCCCCTCCCTCAGAGAGTTCATCTCTGGTGCTGCCTCCTCATCCACTAGAGCAGCATTTCTCAAATGCAGCCACCAGCAGATTTTTTTGTGGCCATGACAGCCTCCAAAGCATGGGTGGAGATTCAGGGAGGGGGAGGGGGGGAGGGGAGGGGTGGAAGAGAGGGAGCAGCAGCCTCTCCCTGCAGCACCCAGCTCTTGCTTCTGAATAATTGTTACCAAGGGCAGCGAGATGCGCTGCCTGGGTGTTTGTTTTGGCGCCGCCAGCAGGGATCGGCATCCTGCACCACGCAGCCTCCTCGGGGGCTCCAAGCAGCACTTCTGGAGACACATGGGGCTGGTGTGCACAGCGCCGGAGTCAGCTATGGTGTTCAGTCATTGGGGCACTCTTCTGCTCCCGCTTGCCTGGGGTATGGGGAGCCTGGGACTCCACAGGTGGCCAGTGAGTTCCCGACACACCTTCCCTGGGGCGGGCGCTTGCTGAAGGACTATGGCGGGCAGGAACAGAGAGACTGGTTTGTCAGAGTGGCCAGCAGCAAGAGCTGGTGGCCACACTCTGAGGCCACCAAAATATTTGTTAGGAGAACCCCTGCACTACAGTAAGAGACCTCTATATCATTCAGTGGCCTGCTCCCTCCCAACTCCAATGTAAGACCTGCTGCCCACGTATTCAAAGAGGGCCATACATCCTATTGCAGGTCTCCACTTCCTCCCAGTAACCACAGCAGTGGCCTCAGAGTATGTCTCAGTAGGGGAATTCCAGCATCCCCACCAGCAACCTCCTGCACCTGAGTCCACCCCGAAAGGTAATCTTCATTTGAAGTTTCCAGGGTGATGACTGTGTTATCTAAGAAACTGACATTCAAGGCGTTTTCTTCCTTGAATGGTATTTACATCCTTTAACTAGTTTAGAGTTTTCCCTCTGAGAATACCCGATAACTATTGCTGGCCTCGCTCTACTTTCGTTCGGAAGGTAACTGAGTATTTGCTCATACAGGTAGTTGCCACTGCTAGTAGGAACACAGGCTCTCTCCCCTAAAATGACCCGCAATTCAAATTAATTGCCCAAAAGTCAAATCAGCCTCTAATCTGAACCACTCCAGTTAGCTGTGCAAAATAAGACAATGATTGATTGGCTCCAAGCAGTTTTAGGGAAGAGGAGAAGCATTTGGCAGCTTACATTACATTTGTATACAAATAACAAGTTAGTCAATAACTATAGTTATTTTGTGTGGCAAAAGCCTTCAACAGGATTAGAACCGAATGGCTAAAGATACCAAGCCAAGGCAGATCACACACTTACTGTGTACTTTGATCCAAGTATGTAATAATTCTATCTGCTTCTTCTTCTAATCGCTTGTTGACATGATGAAGATACTCTGGAACCTGAAAAGATGGAAGAAAGTTATTTTACTGTTTACATAATGAAGACATGTTGAAGAGATGCTGAGACCAAAGTCTGACAGCAGCAGCTACAGACCAATTTTGGGACCAAGAACACCAGGCCCTAAAGTGATGGTGCTCGAGTACATTTGCCACGAGTACAGTCTTTAAAAAGGTAAACATGTGGGTCCCACTATTGCGGAGAATATTTCCTGCTACCCTTATGCACGAGGAGAATGCACTATAGGAACACATTATTCTGCTCTCTCTTAGCTAAGATGTTACCTCAGTGGCTGCAAACAAGAGGAAAAAGATTAAAACATAAAATACCTCTCGTTCTTGCATAAGCCTCTGTCCCTCTGCTGCATACAGACGATTAGTCTCTTCCAAGAATCTATGTTCAAAAGAATCTTGATAAATCTAGGGAATAAAGAAGAATAATTCAGTTTAAAGCATATTGTATCCTTGAATACAAGTGTGATGCTTTTTTCAGTTTTCTGCAAACTGAAGAAAATGTACTCACCTGCAAATCAGAAAGCATACTTAGAAGGCTTCGGAGCAAACTCCTATCAATAGCCTCACCATTTCTTTCCCTCTCAATCAGGAGAAGAATGCCATCAATGGTCTTGTTCTGAACTTTCTGATCGCTAATTATATGAGTCCTAAATAACTCTAAACCCATATCCCTAAAAAGAGAAAAAAGCCTCTTAAATAATTTGCATCAGACCCATCCCTGATTTTTTATTTTTAACCATTACAATAAAAACAACAGCACACGTTCTCGATTCTGATGCTCAAATATTTACTTTCTCAGAGTTTCCTAAGCCATTTCAGAGGTAAATGCACACATACAACAATAGGCAACTATCTAAAGTAAAACTCTTGTACACATTCTCATATCTGCATATACAAGTGAGATTTATTTTTGATAATCACCTTGTTTTAGGACATTAACCATTCTTAGCTTGGATTAGCTGGATTTAGAAAGATTAAAAACTGATGTGCCTTAAAAAGTGTTTCCTCAATTTAATATTAAGACTAGCATATATTCAAAGTTAAAGCAGTTTTGTCAAAAGAACTAAGCATGGAATGGAAGCCAGGGTTCTAATCTCAGCTCTATCACTGGGTGTCCTTATCTAAAGATTTTAAATGATGAATGGTGATGTGGAAGCAGGGATCTCCGTTTTGGGTGTCCAAAGTGATGCCTTAAATGGGTCTGATTTGAGAATGGGTGCTCAGTACTTTCTGAAAAGTTAGACCTTTAAGGTATATCAAGTTGGACGCCCCAAAACGGAGGCATCCAATCACTGCAATTCACTTTCAAAAATCCTGTGATTTCCCAGCTCACATACACTGACTTGCGCTAGCTTGATGAGAGCTATTGAGAGTATAAATAGCAATGTGGCCATGGTAGCAAAGGCAGTGGCAGCAGTGGCATGGCTTAGCCATACTGAATACAACCTGCCTGTAGGTATGGACTCGGCATGGGTAAGCCATGCTGTTGCTGCCTCTGCTACTGCAGCTAAACTGCTATTTATACTTGCACTAGTTCTCATCGAACTAACGTGAGTATGTGTAGATGACCTGGAAATCACAGCCTTAGCTGGTACTGTAGACATAACCTTAGTTTACCCCTTTATAAAATTAGGAGTTGTACATATTCGTTATCCAATATATTTAAAGCATTGTATCTTTAGAATGTTACAAATGTAACAAATATCCTCACTACCTTTGTAGTGTACCTGTGTAGCCAATGACTCTTTGACCCTAAATCCTGGCTTTTCAATTACTTTCTTGTATTATGCAAACTGGAGTTAGATGGTATCAGTTCAGTTAAAATTTGCTATTAGTCACTGCAAAACTCACATTTCATGGCAATGAAATTCAAAACCTCTCTCTTCAAGGAGGACAGAAAATTATAAGCTAGCTGCAATTCTTATATTTCAACTAGTAAGACAGTACGAAAGCGTTTTTTAAAAAAAATCTATTTTATTCTTTGCATCCTTACCAAATAGATGGCAGCATTGAATTTTGAAGAACATAAGTTCGATCCAGGAACAAAAAGATACTCCTAATCATGATCTGTTGGGGGAGGAGGGACAAAGTCACCAGCATTTTTAGATCAGTTGAAATTGAAATGCCATATACCCATATATGTGTATGTGCCAAAATTACCAACAATTTCGGGAGTATTCTGCATTTATTAGTATGCAGTGGGATGTTTTAAGTAAAATGATCAACTTGACATTTAGTATTTGATTTAGGGTGGGAAAGAATGCAAAATAGCATTTAGACATGAATCAAGAGTAAAATTAGAATTAGTCTCTGAGTTACAAACACGAGGGGAAAGGCTAGCATATACACACACGCAATGTGTGTTTCAAATGTTTATTCAAGACCAAAGCTATATGTTCAGAAGTACATCTCAGGGAAGTGCTTTCAAAGTTTCATTTCTAACAAGTTAGATGTCATTTCCTCCTATAAAGAAAGCCTTTACATTAGACATCAGATAACACTTCAGAAGCACAAAGTGTATTTGTAAAAAAAAAAAAAAAAAAATATGAGCGAGATAAGTAAACTGTCAGGAATAGACAGGTTTGTTTTTAAAAGAAAAAAAACCAAAAAACTTACCATTTGTCTGCAGTGATCTTGCCAACATTTGTCTATTTTCTTTAGAAAAAGAACACTGTCCAGCGAATCCATGAAAAGGCAGTTAAGAAAATTATGACCAAAATCCCATAGCTGACATTAGCTACATAAAAAGCGCAACAATACTTGTTTGCTTTTCCACAATACTTTCAGTAGAGTGCATCACAAATTCACTAGCTACCTTTTGGAAAGGATCACAATTTTTTTTTCATATGCCATTTTTAGTTTCTATTAGAGTCATGGTTATTAACAGTAGTTCAAGACCAGGGTAAAATTATTAAAAGCACCTAAAATCACTCAGGAGCTGAAGTCCCATTATCAAAAACAAAAAAATGTTTGGACTCAAAAGCCTAATCTCTGTTAACAATAGTACTTTGCTAGCATATGGAAAATTTCCATTATATGTTGTTTTATTCAGACACAATGATTTACTAAAGTGTAAACATACAGAATGTTACAGTTTCAGGCCATATTTTCAGAGGGACTCAAACTTACAAAGTTTGCACACGAGATCATTTCCAAGCACAAATGCCAGAATTAAGGTGTCTAATACCAAACATGTGACCCCAAATCCTACAGGTACATATCTAAACATAACATTTGCATCAACATTTTATTGTGGGCACAAAATATGCAGGTTTAAAATTAGTGGGTTATTGAAAGTCTGCCTCTTGGAAAAGTACTAGCAATAGTCCATTTTCCATTTCAGCAGGAAAGCTTTAAAGATTCCAAACCAGTAACTGAGTACTAGATATTTCTAGATTCTTAATACAGTTCAAAACTAAAGTTGCTGAAATTAATTCTCTCTTTGTTTACCTGCACATAAAGCAGTTTCGGGTGTCTTCCTGTGCATTACAACAGTTGATGCCATTGCTAATACTTAGAAGGTGCTATAGAAGTGTGTTATAAATAAAACAGTTCAGGGACTGCACTCATTTTGCTTCATTGTTCTCTGTGAAGATCCCAAATGGCTTTACAAACATTTATTTTCTAGTTTGGCAGAAATAGAAAGAACAGCCACAATGCCAAACTATAAGATAATGCTACCTCCCCAGTGCCATCAACTGATGCACAAGAAACATGACTCCTGAGATTGGCAGATGAAAAGACTTTCAGTTAAAGGATATTCTCTGAATTGGTGAATTTGTGCTTTGATGTGGTCTTCACAAATCTGTCTCAATTGTTTATACAAGTTTGCAGAAATCTTGTAGGAGCAGAGATTTTCGACAGCCTAAAATAAATAATGAAACAGATATAGCAAGATAAATATGAATTTCTTCATATGGCTTCCATAAAAAAAAATAGCATGATATGTTTGTTTTTGATCCTTGAGTAAGATCTACCCGCTCTTGAACTTTACATTACATACTGCTGCTTACAGAGCACAGTAGATGTACGAAGCACTTTACAGCAGTAAGAAGACACAAAAAGGGCCTGCCCCTAAACAGTTCACAACCCACGGGTCTACAGACTTCAACGGGAGACTTAGCATACGTCTACACTGGAATAAAAGACCTGTGGCACAGCTACAGCTGGTCTGAGTCAACTGACTCAGGCTCACAGGGCTTGGGCTGCCGAGCTAAAAACTGTTGTGTAGATGTTTGGGCTCAAGCTAGAGTCTGGGACCCTTCCCACTCAGGAGGCCCCAGGGTTTGGGCTCCAGCCTGAGCCTGAATTTCTGCGCAGCAATTTTACAGCCCTGCAGTCGGAGCCTTGTGAGCCCGAGTCAGCTGACCCACACCAGCTGCAGGTGCTTAACTGCTGTGTAGACATATATTAAGTGCCCAAGTGAGAAATGCAGGATTTGTCCCTAAAGCAACAAAGGTAGTTCAATTTTCCAGCAATTTATGGGTTTTATTACTCTGAAGCACAGACACTTAAGGTTTTATTTTATGAGCTACTAAACTTACCAAGCCATTTGCTGTTCCACTGGGAGAGACAGGGAAGCCTTAGTGCAAGAGAGCATGATTTCCACTGTCACCCTTTCACACTCCCCACTTCAAGTTCCCTCTAAATCCTGAGGTATCCTGCAACATCTCTCCAGGTCACACAAGCCTAATTATGACCTCAGATTTTTTTGGTAGTGCTCTGTGTTCTATACTTTCTCAATAAAATATCTTAAACTACCTGAGGGCATAGTTAACTATGAGCATTTGGGTGTGATTTAGAAAAAATGAATGCATGCATCCTGGATGTTTAAGTGGGAAGTAAAAGGCAATTAAGATAAAGTCTGTAGGCATAATGGCAATGTGAAGTGACATTGCTTGTTATGTGGATGGACCCTCACCTGGTGTTTTCCTAATTTGTATTGATTGTGTTTACATGGAATGCACATGAACAACTTTAACTGTTAGGTTAACAAGGTTTTTGTGTAAGAATATGTGGAGATCTGTAGAAGAGCTAGTCTTTAGTGCCACATGTATTGTCTCCATGATTGTCAGACTGTATTTGCTCAGTTCACTACTAACTCAGCGTGGGATCTGACAGTTAAGTTGGGTTCTTTCTAGCTTCTGCAACAACAGTAAAGCATTAAAGACTCTACAATCCAAAGTTAGCAATTCTGTGAAATGAATGCTGCTCACTCACCCCTAATTATATTAGCTCCAAAGGATGAACAGGGAGTAAAAAGTAGTACAAACTTCTTTTGTCAAAAACAAGCAGTTAACTCTGAATATATATATGGGACGCAGATTTACGGAGTTAGAATTCATCATTTTTTCAATGTAGTTTTAGTCATGAAAGCAAGATGTATCAACCACACATACACAAAATGCTATATAAGCACAAAATGGTTGAGTTCTGGCTGCCGGGAAAACCAGAACTGAATTTCCTGATATCTGAGAGTTCTTGAGAATTCTCAGTCTTGAGTTCGTTTTTTTTTTTTTTTTTTTTTAAATTGTATGAATCTAACAATGGTTTTCAATCATTTTTTATTTGCTGACCCCTAAACATTTTTTGAATGGAGGTGCGGACCCCTTTGGAAATCTTAATTATAGTCTGTGGATCCCAAGGGTCCATGGACCACAAGTTGAAAACCACTGATCTAACAGAAAACCACTGTACAGTTCTTTGTTCAGTTTGATGGCATATGGGTTGGAGTTTTCTCCCTTTCTCTCATGCTACTATAGCCTACGTTGTCAGCTTCTAACTTACATATCATTAAAATGTGAGAAGTCAGATCAAACTTTCAAGTAAACCCAGGATACAAAATGTAACCCCTCTTCCACCCAAATGGGCTGGGGGGGAAGAGATGACTACTGGGGGCTGGAAATATGGAACACCACCTTCAAGCCAGGTGCACAACCTCTCTGCAGCCATTCTTCTAGCTAATAAGGAGGGTTAACAATGGCTGGCTCTCCATACTCCGTAGGGCAATGGTTTCTGGCAATTGATCTGCTCCTGATCTGCACCCCTCTTTGCCAGCCTATTTTGAGGTGTTACAGAGTCCCCCCCCGACCTTAGAAAACAGTGGCTGCATAAATAAAACGCTCCGTTTCCCACTCTTTGCATGGATGCAAGGACTTATGCACTTTGGAGGACCTTCTACAGGCCCATTATGAATGGATGGATTTCATCTCAGGTGTATTTATTTCAATGTGTAATAAGTGAAATAAAACTCAGATGATTTTAATGTATGAAACTTCACACATATGCATGTATATCTGGAGTTCTACACAGTCGTAAGTAGTGGAAAATTCACGACGCGCTTGTGTCAAATAGGATTTTCAAACCTTTTGTTTTGACACAAGAAATCAAATACAAAATACATGCGTTTTAATGGAGAAAAAATTCCACACAAAGTGTGAAATTTCAGAAAAAAACAGACAAGTTTTTTGTTTTGTTTTAAAACAGGCAGATAGAGGGAATTTCCACTGAAAACTGTGTGCTTTTAAATGGAAGTATCTCCACCGATACTGTATAATTGCTACTGCAACATTGTACTAGATCAATATTTAAAATAATAGCAATAGCAGAATGTCTTGTGTAGTAACACTTCAAATAATCACACTACCTATTTGCCGTTCACAGAAGTGGGTTGTTCAGAATAAGACGCCCTGCCTCGCGATTCTGCACTCTCAGCTGTATTAGCCATACTCAGGACATGAGATCAAGGCTCCCCAGACCCATCTGGGTATTGTGAAGTTTACATTTGTTTTGGGGGAGGATAAGGAAGAAGAGAAGGCAGGGGGGAAAACCACACATGACTGTCTGAGGCCACAGCAATGGGTACTTCAAGAAATGTTTAAAAAGCTGACCTTTCTTATTTGTAATCATATATTTAAAACAGGGAATTATTGCCCAAGTCTAGTATTGATGTACTGAAGAAAATTATTCTGAAAAATAAACATTTGTATAAAGCTTTCAGTTCTCCAGGATTATTTAGCTGCTTATCTATGTGCACTCTTCCCCAACTTCAACCTGAGAAGTAGAAGAACTAACACAGTGCTAATGGCTAGTGGTCTAAAAAATTAAAGGCTTAAAAAATGTTCACTCGGTGGGATTTTACTGGCAAACAGATGTGTCAAACCAACAAGCTTAGCTCTGTTCAAAAACAAAATATGAATAAATCCTTTTGAAGAGTGTGGGAAGGAACCTCTATAGGCTTTTTTTGGCCATTACTCTCTCTGCTTAGATAATGGTGTCTGCCAAAGCATATTTGGAATCAGATCCATTTACTAAGCAGCTGTTCACAAGCAGCACTGGTTTATTTACCATTTAAAATACTAGCAATCACTATTACTATTTTTAAATTAAGACATTTATTTTTAGATTCAACTTAGAGGGCAGTCAAGTATGAAATGTTCCTAGTCACTTAAATATATTTAAATAATTTTAACATTACGGCTGAGATTTTCAACACATATGTCAGGATATTCAAAGTCATGACACTCAAAGTAGTTGTAACTCACTCTCCTTGAGCATAAGTACCACAGAGAAACCTGGTTTGATATCAACCTCCAAGAGGGCAACTTCATTTAAAATTACTACTTTGTAGTAGTGGCAAGGTTTTCAGTATGACTTTGTAGATAAAGATCATTTCAAGTAGTTAACTGATTTGTTTTTCCTCTGAGTGGTAGATTAGCCCATGATTCACTTTATTTTTTAAAAACACGTTTATTTGCAGTTCTGCATTATTCAATACAGTATAAGCCTATTTGTACTGCGGTGAAATACCCTGAAATCAACAACTGCATGTGTATCTAATTTGCCATCAATTCCCCCAAATGCTGCAAAGAAGGCGCTCTTTATTGTGGAACCATGCACGTGCCAAACATGAAATTTCTCAACCTCGCTGGTTTTGATTTAAAAGTTCAAAACAAGAATCTAAAGTGCATGTAACATGCAGTGGGTGGGGAGGAACATGGGAATGACCAAATCAATCAATCAGCCCATATTCAGGCAATTCAACCCATCCCAAACTTCAATAAGACCTAAAAATAGATATGTCATCACATATTTGCTGGAGTTCAAAATTCACCTTTTTGAGAAAAAACATGAAAACCTATCAAACAATAAAAGCTTGAAAACAGACCAAAGAATAGAAGCACTTCTTTATAACTAGTTGCAGCACTAGGTGGTACAAAAAAACCCCTAAGTTTAGGAAGTCCCAGTTATTTTGACTAAACAAATTTAGTTAAGTAACTGTACATGAAGAATGCAGAAACAGAAATGTAATTATATAAAAGACTGAAGCGCTTATAAAAAAAGGTCTAATACTCAATTTAGACCTGACAGCATTCTTTAAAAATAAATTAAATAAAATAAACAAACAAATAAATAATCAGGGCAAACTAATCATTACTAATGATGGGGGGGAAAAGTAGTTTGAATGTTTTCACTGTCAAATATACATAATTCTAATGGCAAGCACTGACAACCAAATGAATATGAATTTCATGAGGAAATATCGTGACACACTTTACACCTACTTTAAAAGTTAAATGATTTTTTTTTATATGGTTGTTTATGATCCTAAATTATGAACAGATTGTGTTTAGACAGACACAAATAGATTACATTTTAATCCAAGTTGTCCTTTTCTTACCTAAACACCAAACGTTTTAGGATTTCATGTTTCTCCTTGAGCAGCTACACAGCACAAACTCAAAAGCAGTAGTAAAGGGAATACAGCTCCTTGCCTTATTTAATTCGTGTCAACTGTTGCAAGGGAAACCACACCTTAGATTATGCTCTTGGCAGGTAAAAAGGTTCTCAGTTCAACTTTAGCTCTTGCAAATCCTTTATTCTGGATTTTTAAATTCACTTTGAGAAACTGTTCTAAGTAAATAGTTTGTTCACTAGGAAAGTAACTACAAATTGTCATATTTCCTTTTTTTTTTAATCATCATAAAAATCATTTTGAGAAATGAAAAATGAACAGAGCATATCCAGATTTTATTTAGACTGAAGGGCTTTAAATACAGACCGGGCCCACTTACCTGATAGAGCTCTTCTAAATTGTACTTTATTGAAGTACTGTTCTGGATAGCTTCCACAGCTTCTTTCAATTTTTGCCAGGTTTCATCTGTGTAGTTTTCAGGCAATTTAGGTTTATCTAGGATATAAACAAAGGTTGAGATCTTGTTTAAGGAGAGCAGAAAATTCCAGCTGTTTTATGATGTGAAGATGACAAATTTGCAAAAACACTCTAGCTTCCACTAAAACATACATGAAGAAAGTCTTTTTAGGCATATAGCAGATTCTGCTTTCATTGTTAGGTAGCAAGGAAATTCTAAGTTTCAACTCGACTCTCAGTCTTCAAGTCACCCTGTTGCGCCTGCACATCGCAGCACTTGTAGCAGATACCAGACACTGGTCTATAAACACTGCAATACCTATGACTTAACAGTTCAAGTGAAAAAATATTGTCAGTCTATACTTTCATTAATACTGACTTTTTATTAGGCTAGCAGCACAGGACAAAATAATTAGAAAGTGACATACAGATTGATCATCACGTGTTGGTAAGATGGAGCCAGCCCTTTTTAGATATGTATGACAGATGTTCCAAGACAGACAACTGTATATACCTAGTAAGAACGTTGTAATTATTATGTACTACTCTTCCTCACAACCTGAAAAACATCTATACAATGGCCAAATGGGAAACTGGTGAAAGAGACTCATCCCAACAATTTATGCAGGTTTCAAGCTATATTTACACAGGAAACATTATGATTATAGACCTTTGTTTGCAAAGAAAACCTTCCAATCTGAACCAATGCAGTGGTGTTTTCCTAGGTCTGCAGGTTCTGGCCAGTAGGTGTATGTTATGTTTTTCAAGCCCTGTTCTTTATGTTCAAGTACGTCAAACTTGGAAAAATTCAACTCCACTATCATTTAGTACAGCCTTCTTCCACCGTACATTACCTTCAACAAAAATGTATGTAAAACGGGTTAACAAAAATCTCCGAAGTCAAATCCTCAGTGTTGCAGTGAGTTTGATTTTTAAATCATAAATCTAACCACAAAATGATTGCCTAAAGCAAGTTTATGGAAATATTTGGGGATTTTTTTAATGAAAAAAATTAATATTAATTAGCTCAGTAACAGGATCCTGTGAGTAACACTAGCCTCTGGCAAGGGCTAGAAGTGCAGCATAAGTGGAGACCTTAACACCTATGAGATGGAGAATCCCTTGTAGTGTTCAACAGGAACCCTTCTGAACAATTAACACAAATGGATGAGATGCCTAAATGATTGGTTCTCACTCTTTTCAGCCAGGATCATAGCCACATCTCAAGGCATCAAAAAATATCAGGGGTTTCAGGACAGAGCAGACTTAGAATTCTAAAAACAAAATACTTAAGTGATCATCTTTGTTCCAGGAGGAATATTGGGATATGGGAAAGGAAGGGGGGGAGGGAGTTTAAAGAGAAAGACATGCACACTTTCAGGTCAAGTTTGGCCCGTAGTTTGGGTGTTGCAAACCCAGTTTTTAAACAAAATTAAGACAACAGAAATTTGTGATTTTTTTTGGGGGGGGGGGGGGGAGAAAGAGAGGAAGTCATAATAGAGACAGGTATTTTGTTTTTTTTATATATATTTCCTAGAGTTTTGGCAATATTCCAGCATTATGTTAGTTTCCCATTCAGGTTCTTATGCACTAAGTAGAAATGCGATTAGCCCACTTTCACTGTCCAAGCTGAGTGAATTAAAAAAAGAAATACATAAATAAAACAGTGAAAAATTACTATTTTTAAAATGTATTCTAATTTTAATAAGGTGTTATTAGTAACACAGATAAGGGCATAATTAAAAAAAATATTTTCAATCTGTCATTTAATGCTGACTCAATAAATAGCAGTCACAGAGCTGGTAATTTTTTTTAAGTGTCAGACAACACAACAATTCATAATATGCAACAAGTGGTCACAAGAATGTGTAATCTACAACATTAACAAACATTAAGTAAAAAGAACAGGAGTACTTGTGGCACCTTAGAGACTAACAAATTTATTAAGCATAAGCTTTCGTGGGCTACAACCCACTTCTTCGGATGCATATAGAGTGAAACATATATTGAGGAGATATATATACACACACTCTGTATGTGTGTGTATATATATATATATATATATCTCCGCATCCGAAGAAGTGGGTTGGAGCCCACGAAAGCTTACGCTTAATAAATTTGTTAGTCTCTAAGGTGCCACAAGTACTCCTGTTCTTTTTGCGGATACAGACTAACACGGCTGCTACTCTGAAACCAAACATTAAGTAAGTTGTGAAAAGCTACTGCCCATATTCTGTTCACCTATGACCTGTAAGAGAAGCCATAAACGAAGACTAGACTTCACTATCATGCATCACCATCCTAAAATTCCAGAACTCAGTCAAACTAAATGAGACTAGTGCATTCCGCAGTAGGGTGGAAGAACTTTTCATAAGTGCTATCATGAATACCACAGAGCACAGTTATAATCTAATTTAAGCACCATAAATTAGCACTAGATATAGATGCACTACAAACTTACTGTCCTGAATAAGAGAAAAAAAACCCTCTTCTCTTGTATATCTTAAAAGCATATGAAGAAGCACCTCAGTATCCTTTGGGATGCAAATGTTGTATCAGGGGTAGGCAACCTATGGCACACGTGCCAAAGGCGGCATGTGAGCTGATTTTCAGTGGCACTCACACTGCCCAGGTCCTGGCCACTGGTCCGGGGGGCTCTGCATTTTAATTTAATTTTAAATGAAGCTTCTTAAACATTTTAAAAACCTTATTTACTTTACATACAACAATAGTTTAGTTATATATTATAGACTTATAGATAGAGACCTTCTAAAAATGTTAAAATGTATTACTGGCACACAAAACCTTAAATTAGGGTGAATAAATGAAGACTTGGCACACCACTTCTGAAAGGTTGCCGACCCCTGTGTTATATAAATCACCGTTTGTTCAATGTGAGGGAGTAGAATAGGGGTAGGGAATTAAGTTGTGAGACTAGCATGAGGTGGTGCAGAGGGAAGAAACAAGAAAAGGTGCATGAACCTTGGATTTTGCCCATGGTTTTCAGGTAAAGTGACAGGCAGCTCCTTGAAAGCTATGCACATTCCCTGCCTGCTCCTATAATGGCCCATAATGCAGCTATTTGCTGAAATAGCTCTCAGGCAGCATCACATCAGCCCAAGCTTTGCTTCTCTGCTTCTGCAGCAATCAGCTCTGTCACAATGCTGCCTGGCCTCACATAGCACTCCAAAACTCAAGCAACAAGAGCAGCACATATTCTTCTGGTGAGAGGATGGAGAAGTGGAGCAACAAGGAGAGGAAAAAAAAAAAAAAAAAAAAAAGTATGCCAATCCATTTAGAGACCTGGGAAAGGGAAGAGCAGCTCAATCATAAAAGCTTAGTAATCACCTACAAATTTAAGTTATTTAAAAATGAAATAAAATAGACAGAGACCATACTGTGATGGACAAAATGAGATGGACAATTATCTTATCTTCTGCAGAAACCTGTCAAACACCCTGGACTAAACTATTTGTTGTTTCTGGAGTTGGAATTACTACATTAGGGATATCAAATGGTACCATTCTGAATAAGGTTGATTTAAAAGCAAAAATCAGGAGTAAGAGGTCTCAAATCCTTCCTCTCAAGAGAGGCAATGAAAGTTGCCTTAAAAAGTAATCCCAAATGATGGAGTTTGCCTCCAAGTGTGCATTAGATTTGGCAAGTCTACACCATAAGAGATTATTTTCCTTTTTACATACAGATTCAGGCGTTCACCACAGAAGTGTATTTCCAATAAAGCCTATTTACAAGCCAACTGGATAGCTTGTCATGTTGAAATAGCACATGAGTTGAGTGTCAACTCATCAAAGGCGAGGACAAATTATGGCTTGTTATTACCTTTAAAGTTCTTGATCACTAACTTCTTGGCAGAGCCAGGTTTACTGTTGGCGAAACTGGAGACCGTGGAAGAGGCAGCTTTGGTCAAGCCATTTGCATGGTGCCCCACTGCCACTGAAGAAATTAAAAGGCTTTTATTTTTGAGCTGTTGCTGGTGCTGCTGCTGAGAAGAGGCAGCAGGAGAAGAGGATGAGGAAGACTCTTCAGCCATCTTCACATCGAGTCCAATAAAATCCAAGGAGTCCTCAAAGCGCAGCTTCTTCTGCAGGTGATGGTTGGATGAGGGGCCCCCTGAGGAGGTGGTGATGATGGAGGAAGATGATGATGAGTTGTTTTTGGAAGGAGAAGAGGAGCAGGAGGAAATGGAATCAAACTCTTCTCTTTCAGAATTGTTGCTGCTGTTGTTTAACTTTCTCTTCTTGCAGGAGGAGGAGCTGCTGCTGCTATTACCATCAGTGGCAGGTCTGACCTCCTGAGCTGCTGCTGGGGGGTTGGGGGAAGAGAAACCTGTGGGAAACATGAACACACAGAGGTGAACAGACTGAGGGGCATCAAATTCTTTTGGTGTGACACACAAAGAGAGAGTTAGAGTCAGTCTCTGGTTTGTCTTCTCTCAGAGGAGTCTCTCAACTCCTCCTTTTTGCCAGCAGAGTCTTTCAGTCCCCCCCTCCTTCACTTTCTTCTCTCGGTAGAATAACTTGTTTCCTCTCTTCGCTGCTCCTTTGTTTCTTCTCAGTAGTTTCTCATGCCTCTCTTGCTTCTACGCCTCTCAGCAGCGTCTCTCTTCCTTCTTCTCTCCACCCACAAGCCTCTCCCAGTCCTCCTCTTTACACCTGTATTCTACCTTTTCTGCTCCCACTCTCAATTCCTCACCCTCTCCTTCTTTTGCTCCTACCCTCTTTCTTCAAGAGGAAATAAAAGGGGTGAGTGAGTCTCTCTCGCTCCCTCTTGTCTATAGACCCCTTTCTCCACCTCCTCCCTTGCCCGTTTCCTTCCTTCCTCTTCTTCTACCTCAGCCCCCGCCCCTCTCGCCTTTTCCTCTCCTCTCGCTTTAGCTCCCCCGCTCTCCCTCCTCCCCCCTCTCTGCCTCCTTCTCTCTCTCCCGGGAGGGGGGACGGGACGGATCGGGGCTTGTTATTGTCAATACAAGGGAGAGAGGGAGCCTAAAGATGGCGGCACATCCGGCCGCCAGGCATTCTGGGAGGCAACCGCCCGGAAATTCTACCGAGGGCCCCAGAGCGCTGGAGGCCGGAGGGGGAGAGTGTCTCTCGCCACCGACAGACCGAAGTATATGGCGGGGGAATAGCCTCCCTGCGGGGCCTTCTCCCCACTCGCCGTCTGGCTTAACCTGCCACCTTCTACCACCCCTTCCGCTACCCTCTGACCTACCGGAAGTGATCATGGTGCCGGCTGCTCGCGCCGGGGGACGGGACGGTTCGTTATCCCCTCGCGCTCCGGAGCGTGGGGTACGTCGTACGGCAGGAGGCGTGGCTACAGCCCGACTCCGCGTGGCGGGAGCAGAGGGAGGGGTTGGGCTGGTTCCCTGTAGGGTCCCGTGCCTGGGTTACGCCCGCCCACCCCAGCCCTTGGAGGGGGGTTGGTTTGATCCTTGTCGGCTCCCGTACCTCTGCCCTGTCGAGAGAAGTACGTGCAGGCCCTCGTGGTGCCTGGGCCACTCCCGCTGTCCAGCTCGGGGATGGGGCGGCTTGGGCCCGGCTTCTCCCACGCTCGCTCAGGCGGCGGGGGTGCCCCCTGGTGCTGCTCCCTGGGACTGCTCCCTCCCCCTTAGCCGCTGCCCTCCCCACAGGCGCTGGCAGAGCCGGCCCGGGGGGAGGGGACGGCTCCCCGCCCACTTAGCTCGCGGGCTGCCCGCTCCCGCCTCGGGCCGGGCTGATCCGGGCTGTGTGCGCGGGGGGATGCCTGTCGTCTCACGGCGCTGCCTCCCTCGGTGATCCGGGGGCAGCTGGGTGAAATCCCCTCTCTGTCGCCAGATGTCTGTGCCCTGGCTCTAAGCCTTTCCAGCAGACGTGTCTGTCTGTGTAGGGCGTGTTCTCCTGCGCTCTGAGACCGCAGACTTGAAGGCTAGAAGGGACCATCTTGATCATCTAGGCTGACCTCTACCCTGCACAGTACAGGCCCAGAACCTCACCCGCTAGGGTGACCAGATGTCCTGATTTTATAGGGACAGTCCTGATTTTTGGGTCTTTTTCGTATACAGGCTCCTATTACCCCCCACCCCCTGTCCCGATTTTTCACATTTGCTGTCTGGTCACCCTATCACCCGCTCACACATCTTCAGCTGCTTTGTGTCCCTCGGGCTGCAGATTATGTTGTCTTCCTACCTGCCCCTCTTGGGGTTTCACAGAAATGAGGGGGGGGGGGAATGGCCCGGACCCTGGATGGTTGCAGGGGCAGACACCCAGGTATGCTGGGTTGCTCCCCCATTCAGTGCATGTACTGCAAAAACTCACAGTCAAGATAATGTAGCTATATTGTCACATTGTAACATTGTCACCCTGGCCCTGTGCCTATGCAGGCATACTATAAGCAACCTACTTTACAGCTGGGGAAGTATTCTGGAACACTTGCACTTTTCTAGTGCCTTCCATCTGAGGATGCTCTCCCAATATTAACTAGGCGTCACCAGCCCTTGGAGAAACAGGTACGTATTTGACAAAACAGGGGGACTGAAACAGCTGAAGTGCAGTGACTTGCCCAAAGCAGTGTTAGAGCTAGAAAGAGTCCAGATTTCAGGAATCCTGGTTTTGTTCTTTAGCCACTAGGTACCACTCACTTACACAATGGCAAACAGTAATATGCAAACAAGAGTTGAATTAGAAAGTTGGGCTAGACTTATTTAAATGATGGTATCTTTGATCTTACTCTCAAATTTCAGACTTTAGTCAGTGGTTGGCTTATAGTGGAAAAGGAGGTCTGGTCCCCCCCCGTCCCCCCCCAGCTAATTTTGCAAAAATCAGGTGGGTTATTTTTTAGAAAATTATAACTCTTGTGAAAATTTGCATTAGGCCAAAATTTAGCAAATTTTAATCAAAATAAGTTTGGCTTTTTTATAGTTTAGAGCAGTGGTTCTCAAAGCCGGTCCGGGAAGCGGCGCGGGCCGAGGGATGTGCTGGCCGCCCTTCCCGCAGCCCTCATTGGCCTGGAGTGGCGAACCGCAGCTAGTGGGAGCCGCAATTGGCCAAACCTGCAGATGTGGCAGGTGAACAAACTGGCCCGGCCCGCCAGGGGCTTTCCCTGAACAAGTGGCAGACCGGCTTTGAGAACCACTGGTTTAGAGTCAGAACCATTGACATCAGGATGGAGATAATTAAATTGCTTTCTTAACACACTTTTGTGCTACTCGTGTGTTTTCATCATCCGAAAAAATACAAAAAATAATCCACCAAGTGTACTGTTGTGAGTCACTGAGGACTGAGATATATTTGCGGAAGTAATAAAACAAGCTGTGGGTGCTATCACACCCTGCTGCTGCAGACAGTGTCAAAGGACTACTCACAGGAGCTCATGCACCTGCGTTTTTTGGGCAGAAGAGGTCCTCAAAGAGAGACTGCTGACAGCTATGTTATGATAGAAAAAGGTATGCTAACTTATCTTGATAGAAAGTATGGAGACATGGAAGTAATTTTACTGAGTTTTGCTGGACATTTTTTTTTCCGTCCGTATAGTAGAAAAAGAACTCCTGAGTCCTAAAACCTAATTGCACTGATGGATGGAAAAATAACTCAGGAGTGTTTTCTCCAGATGCAAGATATTTTGAACTTGCTTTTGAGTGGATGCGTAATAGAATAAGTGTGTAATTGATTGGTTACTAATAGTGTAATAAAGATAAAATATAACAGTGTTGCTTTTATTATCACTTAATTTTTTAGCCTAGTTAGTTTAGCTAGTCTTTATCAGTTTGCTTTTCATTGTCCACTTGCTCACCTCTCCTTAAATTATTCAAGAATTTTAAATGCTGTATATTTAGAACCTGATCCTGAAAGGTGATTTCACTGGAAGTTGAGAGTGCAAGCAGCTTGCATGAGGTCCTCTGCATAGAAATGCTGCTACTAATAAAGGTGTTATGCAACCTAAGAAACAGGCTTCTGTGTAAATCTTGGTGAAATTAAGAATGATGGACAGTTGTATTACAAAACTTCAGTTTAAATGCTTTGAGGTTTATTCAAAGACACTCTATGCAAACAAATTCAGATCATGCAAAAACTAAAGTAGCCTTGAAGTCTTTGTTTGCAGATGTGCCTCCAAAGACAGTCATATGTGTGGAAGAGAACCTGGGGGAATTGGAAAATAGATAGTGATGTCCTGCCTTGGGACCCAGTGAGACTGAAAGAGTTCATCTTATCAGAAGAAAGGAGATGCTAACTTCCCATTGGAAAAAACCTATGTGAACCCCGGGGCCAAATTATGCCCTCAGTTATACTGGTGTAAAACCACTGATTTATTTGGCTACACTGAAGTTACTCCAGGTTTACTCAAATGTTACTGAAGGCAACATTTGGCCTTATGTTCTTAATACTATCTATCTATTGTGTGACTATAGTAGTTCCTTAAATGTAGTCCTCTAAAAAGGGTTACCATATCTAGCCAGGCTATGATTACTAAGGTGTAGCTGTTTTACAGAAAATAAATGTCTTCCAAAGAGTTCAAGAAAATCCTCTTGAAATAGTTTGTCATTGTGACAAATTTTCCCTCTTGCTCATACTCCAGTAAGAGAATAACAAGACTATTTGTGCAAAAGATAAAATGAGGTCCCTGATTATTTTTTAAATGAAATGCAAGATAATTGCTTTTTAAATTACTTATACACTTGAGTATTTATATAATGTTGGAGTTCTTTCATCTTTGTATATTGTATATTTATCCTTTCCCTTGCATATATTTATCTTACTGTTTGAAGAAATGTTGCTATTTATGCAGGTATAATTTTATCCTGTGTACCACAGCCATAATTTCATTAAGTATTAAGCCCTAGTTAAATGTACAGTATCAAGGATGGCCAGTTCACTTTGCCTGGGAAAAGAACCTCACAGTTTGCATATGGGTTCGATCCTGTTCTCATTGAAGTATATGGCAAAACTGCCACTGGCTTCAACAGGAATAGGATTGGAGCCCATATGTACATTTTCCTTTTCTATTACCTATATAAAGAACCAAAGCATTTATGTCTAGTCAGACTAGAAGAAGATTGATGGATACTTTCTCTAATCTATTTTAACTATCTAATCTATGGTTTTTACTGTGCTAATCACCATGGTGGTGATTGTACATCCATTATCACCAGACAAAATATAATTTGGTCCTAATCAACGATATAAAACATAACTGTCTTCACCAGAACCCATTCCCGCTTCCGGCAGCTGGGATCTTCCTGGGAAGCCACTGTTGTTCCGCTCCCCCTCCACCTTCAGGGGTGGCTCTTTCCCTGTCCTCACCTGTGGCACCAGGATCTCCTCCGGTGACAGACTCCCTGACCAGCCCCAGTGTTCAGTCTTCAAGAGTCGGATCTTTTTCCACCCTGCAAAAGATAGGGCCTTGTTTGGGATTCAAAGGCCAGGGAAGGATAGCTTTTGGTCTGGTTAATTTTAAGATTTTTTGTTTGTTTGTTTGTTTAAAAATATTCTGTGTTCAATAATGTTAATAATTACTTCTGGTTTCTTTTTCAAGGACTATTTTTTGAAAGAGTGGAATAACACCCAGGAAAGCAGTGTTAAGGCTGCAAGTAACAAACAAGCAATGCTTCTGAAAGCATAATAAAAGCTCTATTGTGCAATAGCTAGGGCCCTACCAAATTCACAGTCCATTTTGATCAAATTTCACGGTCATAGGATTTTTAAAATAGTAAATTTCATGATTTCGGCTATTTAAATCTGAAATTTCACAATGTTGTAATTGTAGGGGCCCTGACCCAAAAAGAGTTGTGGTGGGGTTGTGTACTGCTACCCTTACTTCTGTTCTGCTGCTGGTGGCAGTTGCCTTCAGAGCTGGAGAGCGGCAGCTGCTGGCTG